CTTTTTTACCTTTGAAATTTATTTCAATTTCGTAGCTTAAGTACAACGTCCATGTTTTTAGCTACTCCATAATTACGAAAAATAATGAATGTTCTTACGATCTAGCGTCATAGTGCATATAACTGCCGTATTCGTAGGGTGTATAGTTGATGATACGACTCGAAGGCAGTTTGATATAATTGTGCAACATGTTCGCCTAAAAATAATAAAACTTTCTATATCGAAACAATGCTCAGACACTAATTCTAAACCTTGGAAAAATTCGAAATATTCTAAAAAATTGAAGCCCCATATTTCACAATCTCAATAGATTCATTTTGTTGGTCCATTTATTTTTGTATAATTTTGTTTGTTCGAGAAAAATGTATTAGCATACCGCAAAAGTTCTAATAATAAGAGAAATACATGAGTTTTTTTATTAAATTCACCACAATTGGTAAGTGAAATATTTACAACAAATTTGTTAGATCTCCGTTTTCGTTCTTTCTCTTGGACGGAGTAAAAAGATCTAACTTTCCCCGGGACTCCTATAAATATAGTCCGATTTTTGGTCTATTGAAGCTGAGATTGTACGAAAATGAATTTGGGAAAAAAATTATGTATATGATTTGAGAATCGCAAACTGGACAAAGCTTATAGAGCAACCGGATACTGCTCCTTTTTGGTACTGCCATTTCTTGTTCTCGAGGTTAAAGGAAAAAGTTAATTTTTGATTACGTTATTTTTGATTTGGTGCAAACGGACAGAACTCAGCAGCAGTCTGACACTAACTCTTTTGTGGACTTTTTATTATCTCTCTCTCTTTCTCTTTCTCTTCTTTCTCTCTCTCTTCCCCTTACCGGTACAGCTGATAAATCAACTTGAACGAAATTATCGCGATCATCTCTCATTTGCATGTGCCAAATTCCAAGAGCATGAGCAAATTCGTGTGCCGCAATCCCAACCTAGAAATTTCGCGAAATTCTTTCTACAGTAATTCCTGAAGTAACTTACAGCTTCACAGCCTCTGCCCAGTGACAATTCTTGAACTCCTCCAGCCATACCAATTGTCGCAAAGCATCCGGCACCACTAAAAACTCTGATCCTATTCAAAGCAGTTGTACTTTCAGTAAATTCAAGGCAGGTTCGGTCTTGAAGGTATTTTAGAGCTTCCTTTACGATTCTTTTCATTCGAGCATCTGAAATAAACCTTAAAGGTATAATGTAGTTTTTGGAGAGTTAGGGGTTTTCACCTATACTAATGTCGAAGAAGTAAAAGACACGATTATCACTCCATAATCGAGCACCGCTGTCCACTTGTCGTTTTTCCCGAGTGTTATTTTCCAATTTGATGCTGTTTTCAATCCAGTCCAGCTGTTCACTGGTAA